AGCAAAACTTTCTCACAAGTGTTGCCATTATGTTAGTATAGTCATGATTCCTCAAAATCTGTCCCCACATGTAACTCTTCTCCTCCTCAGTACCTGCAGAGTCAGTAGCTGCTGAAAAGTAAGTCCTCTTCATAGTTCCTGCAAACCTCTGTGGTCTTTATTTTGCATTACACCTTTAGGATTATTGTTCAGTCATTTCCCCAAAGGCCTGTGTGCCTTCATSTTGGTTATTTCTGAGCATCTATTCTCTAGATGCTAAATCCTTGCATGGGTACAGGGAGTACCCATGTACATGGGTACATTTTTCCAGCACTTGTGCACACGTTGCTGCTCATTCCCCCGGGGCTCTTGGCTCCAAGTCACCCCATTCCTGCTCTTAGCATAGTTAACATTGTTGTGGACTGCATGTGAGGAAAATGGTGCTTTTAAGCTCCCTGGAGCATTCAGAGGTAGGTGAAGGCCAGGGTGAACTGAAGGCAGCTCAGCATCAGGCAGACATGGAGGATACAAGGGGAGGGTACTACAGTGCTACAGTCTTTACTCTTTGCATGCCTTAAGCTCTGGAAGCACGGAAGAGCAGGTATGGAAATGCTTTCCAGAACCATTGTCCATTTTAATAGGGCATTGCTTGCAAAGCTTGCAGAAGTCCCTATCTCCTTTAGATTTCAGTGTCATATTCAGAATAACAGGGGTCTCAGTGTGAGACAACTTTAGCAGTGGGAAAGGAACGGAGGCAATGCCAAGTCACAGCTGCCATTTGGTCACAGCTCCCTGGGAGCTACCTGCCTTGTGAAGCTGTCCTCTAAGCAATTGCATTGGGTAAGAGATTAATCTTTGCCAGACTAAGTGGGAGAGAGTGCCATTTCCCTGCTCTTAGGAACCTCTTTGATTGCCCTGGTCTGTCCTTTGGAGTTGAACATGAAGCTCTGAGCTGTACTTTGAACATAGAGAGGTCATCTGGTTCCCTGACCTGCTGCTGTTGTGCTTGCCCAGGTTGAACTGCCGCATCTGGGAGATGGTTTTGSTTTATCTGCAGACTCTCATGATAATAAACCTGCTGTTTCCCAGTTCTACAGACCACRGTTAAGCATTAAATTATTGTTTTCTTTCATGGCGGTTGCTTGCCATGTGAGCAATGTTTAGTAGCCTGCAACTGGCTTATCAAACTGTTTTTTTCAACTGTGCATGTTACAGCCAGCAGGAATACTGACAGCTGATTAATAGAGTGCTCCAAGGTCCAAATTAGCTGCACTGGAATGCTCTTACTCAAATCCTGCAGACCAATACTGTTGCAGAGTATCCTTCTGTAGCCCACTTGGAGCAGTTCTACAAGGGTTTGTAATTACCATATGCCTCTGTAAAGAGCAGATATTTCAACACATGCTTGCAGGTAAATGTCTCAAGCTAGCTAACTGACAGGAGCCTTTCCATAGGTTTTTCTCCCATTCAGTTTGTTGTTACATCTGAGAGAGCCTCAGATTTGGTCCATGTGGAAAGAAATGGCTGTAGAAAGGGGAAATGTTACTTGCTAGCTCAGAAGCTTCCCATTTCAGTCTCACTGTTTTTGTACGATGCTGTGAATAAGATATGCTCTAAAAATAACACCACATTTCAGCTGGCAGCCCGCAGGCCAGGTCCCTCCTGCGGGTTGCATCCCTTCAGCTCACGAGTTTGTTGTCCATATGTCCCCAGCCCCGACCTCCTCCTCTTCCCTGCAATGCTCATCCGAAATCTGTGCTGGCAGCTGCTGCTTGTAGAGGTGGAGTGTGAGGGTAACTGACTTGAGTCACTCTGGAGCGGAGATATTCCTAAGGTTATGGACACTGAATATTCTTGGGTAGGAGATAAACGCTAATCCTAGTGCTGCCAACGCATTTCTRTGTATTGCTAGGAGCAATACACAGTTTTCATATGAGGAACAAAAGTTAAAATGCAAAATTTAGGTGCTCTCTGGCTTACATTGGTAATTCAAGGTTCCCATTCTTCCCAAGTATTGTGCTATATATTGYCCCTTTTCTGGAGCTGCACTTATGAATGTAATACAGGACTATGGGTTCTACAGTCTGACCTCCTACGTGGTCAGACTTGGAGCAGTGCATGAGTCCTGTGTAATTCCTCCATCTCTGCTGAACAGAGTGCATTGTTATTAGTGGGGATGTCAATACTGCTCATAAAATCAGGGACTTCATCAGCACATAAATAAAGAGGAGGCAGTACTATGGCACTATGGGACATGTGATATGTATGTAGATAACGTGTTGATTTTCCTGTCTGCTTTCACTGTTAGCTGCTCCTGCACTCCAGAAACCTATGGGCCTCACTGTGCCTCCAAATTTGATGACTGCCAGGGAGGATCTGAGGCGCTCTGTGAACACGGCACCTGCATAGACGGAGAGAGGGATCAGCCTGGCGTGGTAAGGAACAACGTGTAAGCACAGAAAGAAGCAGCAGTGGGTAATGCTGAGCGCCACAAAGCTGTGTGGCAAACACTGTTGCTGAAAGACAGCAAGAAGTGCCACCATTCAAAATAACCTCACCTTGCTGTTGTCCTAAGGACAGCAGAAAGAACTGAAAATGCCTTGTGTTTTATTACAGGTTTGTCACGGCATCAGATCTACTATTACATCCCTAGGGGGCTTTAGAATATCCTTTGGATGTTAGAACATTAGAATGTTCTTTGGATATTTATATCTTGTTAGAAACATAATGTTCTTCGTGTTCATTATTTGGGGATTTCAGTACTAAGTGTCTACACTTAGTCTACTAAGTGTCTACACTGTTGCTACAGTGTCTTTATTACTTAAATGATTGAGAAGGAAAAACTGTAGGACATTATTACTAATGACCTGGGAGGCCCCAACACTGCACAGCTGCTGCCTGGCTGCTCTTCRCACACGGGGCTCTTGCTTGGACTCCATCCTTGTTGGCGTTTGGGCCTTGGCTCTCAAGGTGTCTGCACAGGGTGGATGCTCGTGCACTCCTGAATGGCCCTCTGGAGCAGGCCAGCTGATTCTTTTGGGAAGAAAATTCGAGTACAGATGTGTGAAGGTGCCAGTTTTGGCTCTTTCCATTCAGAGCAGCCYTCCAAAACTACCCCGGCAGACCTTGTGTTCCTTAATGCTTCCAGCACGCCCAGTCCAGGCACATCACACAGTTCTTGGTGCTATGATATGAAATAAATCTTTTGATCAATTTTTTAAAGCTGTCATAATTTATCACTTTCTGTTTTCTTCTTCTTTTTTTTTTTTTTAATGGGGAAAGCTTTTCAAAAACATCCAGTGTTGCCTCTGTTCCTATAACAGTCAATAACAAAACTCCCATTAGCTTTAATTAGAACTGAGTTAGATAAATGCTGAAGTCTGGTCATTAGTGAGAAAAATGAGAGAGAAAAAAAATGTTTTTTCTTATGAGAGAAAAAATTGTTGCTCTCAAAGAAAATGTAGATTTGTAATTTATCAGCTCTGCACATTACACAGATTACCAAACAATTTGCTTAAAAGAAAACAGCCAGATTGATTKCAGGTTGCTTACATTGATCTCTTCACCCTGAATACAAAACAAATTGATAACTCTAAATTATTTTTAGGTACAGTTTCTAAGTGCTGTTCATTTTTATCTGGAAGATTTGGGGTAAATTGCAGGTTTCTTTTATGAACATAATGAATCAACATGTTGTTCCTGCCATAATCTAAATAGTTTAACTCGGAGGAAGAAATACACTGAGAAAACTGCCTGAGAAGATAGATAACTTAACCYCAGCATGTGCAAGTCATGCAGTGCTCTGAAAGCTTCCCTGCAGTCAGAAGGCACTTAGGGCAATGCTTCCTCTGGCCCTTCTCCTCCTCCTGGCCCTGCTAACCCCGTGCCGTGCTGTTTGCCGTGGCAGCCCAGCTACCGCTGCGCCTGTGACGAGGGCTGGACGTCGCCTCCCGGCCGCCGTGCCTGCAGCGCCGACGTGGACGAGTGCGGCCTCCCGCAYGGCCCCTGCTCGCAGAACCCGCCCGTGCGCTGCCTCAACACGCCCGGCTCCTACACGTGCGGGCCCTGCCCCGCAGGTAGCGCCTCCTCCCGCGTCCTCCTTCCCTGGGACAGGCACCAGCGGGCCGGCCGGCCTGCCTTTCATGAGCACACGCTCCGGATCCACGTGGAATGGCTGGATAATGTGCCGTGGTTTGTAGTCAAGAGAAGAAATGTCCACAGGTTGTGTCTTATCTAGGTAACACAGGCAGTGGGCTCTAGCACGTGGTTTATCCCATCCCAAAATGAGCATGTCAAAGAGCCTCGCAAACTGCATTCTTAAAGTGCCTGTTTCTCTCCACTGACTTTAATGGGATGACTAGATTGGGGTAGGTAGGAGGAATCTTACCCACTCTGCACAGTGCTACCTCTGTGTCCGTATGCCCACTGYCCTAAGGCGTAACAGAAACCTTAATAGGTCCTTCAAGCCTCAAAATCTGTGACTAATCTTCCCAAGTTGGGTAGGTAGCGTGTGTAAGACGTGAATATGAGGATTTGAAGTATTTAGCCAGAATCGGAATGAGCCTTTGCTGCAAATTGTACATACATGTGCTAAATCAGAATCACCTCATCTTTAGGTAGAAGTGTATTTATTTGGTCCTAGAATATCCAGAATACAGTTAAAATAAATGGGTAGCACACACCCGTCCTCCCTAATGTGTTTGTAACCTATTCTATAGACTAACTTTAATTTGCATCAGTTAGGAGAGGAACAGTTCTTATTTACTTGTTTTACTGAAGTGAAATTCAAAGTCGTATCTTATTCAATGCTAAGAAAGATACGGTCAAAGAAGAATAGGAAAAGGTTGGATATTTTCCATGTTAGTGTCTCTCTTCTGCTTCTTTTTAGGCTGGCAAGGAAATGGCTACAGTTGCCAAGACATTGATGAGTGTGAAAATAACAATGGAGGCTGCTCAACAGCACCGATGGTTCAATGTATCAACACAATGGGATCCTTCCACTGTGGGTTTTGTCCACCAGGTAAAATAATAGCTTTTCTGTTGATAAATATATGGACTGGCTTCAAAGATGTAGATTCAGCACATTTGAGCCTTTCATGGTACAGTTAAGAAACTGCAATTTGTCTTTACAGAAGAGATGTGTCATAGGCTCAAAGCAATACTTACAGTATGGCACCCAGAGTCACCCTCTGGATGCTGCCTAAGGAAGCAGCAATTCCAGTGCAGTGCAGATACAACAGAGGAGGTGGCAATTTATGTGCACGTAATATGTGTTTTATCGATTAAAATGCGTTATGAGATGCATGCTATCAATGGTAGAAATACTAGCAAGAAAAAAAAGTGTTTCTCTTTGTCCTGCCCTAAATGTCATGACTGCAACTCGTGAAAGTGCTGAGCCCTGAGGAGCTGTCCCCAGGTGTGGCCTCAGCAGAGCTGGGCAGTGGGCCCTGGGCCAGTCCTGAGAGCATAGATAYAGATGTGCTGTTTTTCTAACATAGAGTAAGGATTCAGTTAGGATCAGAATTCACTCCTGCAGTGTAGGAACCACAAGAAAGCTGCCATATTTTGCTCAAGTGGTTATCCTGACTTTTTAACCGTAGAAGACTGATTTTAGCCTTACACCTTACACTAGTGTATTTCTCACCCTATGATTGTTTTGCTGTTGATCTCAGAGGACATGGTTTGTTACAGACTAACTGAAATTTTACTCTGAACAGGTTATGAGGGAGATGGACGAACATGTATCCAGGTTGATATCTGCTCAATAAGTAATGGAGGCTGTCATCCTTTGGCAACTTGTACCCCTGGTCCAGGTATGGTGCCTTCTTAAGGTCTGTAAGTAACACCAGCATGACTCTTGAAAAGGGTTTGATTAGACAGTACCCACTTGGTGACAACATATTTGTATTGCAGCCCCTTCTCCACAGTCAGTTTTGCCTTACCCAAGGAAAGGCAGATCAGCTAAAACTGGCAGGCCTTGTGTAGACACTGACAGCAATACGTTCATGCTGCACCATAAGGGAACTGCACATCACCTCCTGTGCATGTGTTGATCTTCCCCATTTCCCTCTAGGCAGTTTTCCAGTTTCAGGTGCATTTACCATTCTTCTCTGTTCCACAAACACCTKTGCCTGCTTCCATGATTTCCTGCAAAGCTGACCCTTTGGCTCTCAGATACCCTCAGCAAAGCAACACTAGTGACCTTTTCATGATCAAGATGGGCGCTGACTGGGAAGGCACCAAAAGAAAAAGTAACTTAAAATGATCTAAAGGCTCTGCTTCAAAATGTGAAGGACTTTCACTGTAAAGTTGCCATTGTCATTGTAACAAGTACTGCAGTACTTACGAGATCTCTTTTGTTTCATCTCCCAAGGGCTAATGCCATTTTGTTCCTGCACGCCTGGATACACTGGGAGTGGATATGGGCCAAGCGGGTGCTCTCCTCTCAGTGATATCTGTCAGCTGCAAAACCCATGTGCAAATGGGCAGTGCTTGGTAAGTGCCAGACYCTTCAGAGTTGGAGACAAAGTGATGCAGATACAACCACTAGCACCACGGAGACTGGTGGGACTGAAATTGAAGTGGAAACATCTGTGTTAATGGAGATGATGTCCTCATCTCCACTCTCATCACCTCATCTCCTCRCTACCACTCCTCATCCTCTCTTTCATAGGCACCTCTTCTCCTTTCTCTCAGATATTAAAGGAGCCTTCTGTGCTCAGATCTTGTCTATATTTTCTAACTGTATCAGTCTAATGCAACATATGACTTCTTCCAGTAAAGGTTCTCTAAAACACAACCTTAGACTATCATGACTATGGCACTACTGCTTGCACATAATGAGGTACTCAGATACTCCAGTAATGGGACTACAGAATTATATAATTAAATAGAAGAACACAGAAGCTATATTTGGCCAGCATAATGACAGAGGCAATGTAATGCTAATTAAATATCAGGCAACCCAGATTGGAAGGCTCCTTTTTCATCTTCTAAAATACAATTCTAGCCACAAATTAAATATACAGAAACAAAGACCTTTCCATCATAGTGAAAATGTCTGTTCAGGATATACAGGGTATGAATGCAGAATGGGAAATGAAAAATAGGGAACAAATTATTTTCTGGCACATACCTCGGAATACCATGTTCTGTTTTTCTTGTAAAAAAATAGAAGAGATATAAAGAAAAGAGGACATAAGAAATAAAAGCAACTAGAAGTATGGATAACCTTGGCTGTAAGGAGAGGTAGCAAATGTGTTAGACAAAAGAAGATGTAAGGAAAGGAAAAAAAGAAAGAAATTCAGAGTAAGTAATAACAGAGAAGGCAGTGGAAATATTCCCGTTCAATATCCCTCAGGGTGAAAAGGCAAGTACCAGCCAATGTAACTCAAATGCAGACTTCCCAGAAACAGGCTTGGAATGATTTATAAACCACTGTTATCTTGCTTGCTATTTATACAGTTTAGATAATTGGATTGATTTGTTTCTAGGATGATCGTTTCAAAGCCACGCAAACCATTTTATGAATGGCTAACTAAACACAGATTTTTCAAAAAGTAATTTGAAATGGCTCTGCAAAGAACTAACTTAATAGAAGAAACAAAGAGCTACATAATCTGGTTAAGCTTTGGGTTTATGGTAGTATTCACCAATTGCCATCAAGACCATTAAATGCCGAGCGCTTCATTTCTTTGCTCTGAAATCTCCCCATGAAGCAAGCAGACATCAGCCCTTCTGGTCCCTTCAGGTGATCTACCTTGGCTGCATTTTGTTTGTTTATACCCGCAGGCCACAATCTCTGGGTATTTGTGCGTGTGCAGCGGCGGCTGGACGGGCGCCAACTGCACGGAGAACATCGACGAGTGCGCGAGCAACCCCTGCCAGAACGGGGGCACCTGCCGGGACGGCGTCGGCGGCTACTCGTGCGAGTGCCCCAGCGCCTGGACGGGGCCGCACTGCCAGCAGGCCCAGCACGGTACGGCGGGAGCCTGCGCCACGAGGCCTGCGCCGCGGTGTCAGAGCACCCCGTAAAACTCGGGGTGCAGRAGCACAGCTCCCGCTCCAAAGTCCCCACGGGCACAGTAGGACCCAAGAGCCCTTTTGGACAGCAAGGGCCCAGCACCAAGGCCCTTGTAGACTTTCTGGCCTTGACTAGACCCTGCACAGCCTGAAGTCACATTTCTGTCCCCAATAAGCCATCTTCCAGGTCCTGAATGTGTCCCCACTATCTATGGGAGAGAKAATTTGATAGGAGAGCAGATTTACAGGAGAATATAATATTAGTTCTGTTCCGTGCATACTATTTCTTTTGTTCGTTGCAAAGCTGAGAGGTCCTGACATTTGTAGTAGATGTGAAAAGCCAGGAAAGGTTTACAAGCAGAAATGTTATGAAAGAAATGTTACCAGTGAAGCTGGGGGACTAGCAGGTTCATAAAGTGACTACAAAATCCTGCCTTTAGGATTGTTTCTCAACATCTTTTTTATTATTATTATTGGCTTGCATTTTTCTTTTTCCTTTCTTTTTCTTTTTCTTTTTCTTTTTCTTTTTCTTTTTCTTTTTCTTTTTCTTTTTCCTTTTCCTTTTCCTTTTCCTTTTCTTTTTCTTTTTCTTTTTCTTTTTCTTTTTCTTTTTCTTTTTCTTTTTCTTTTTCTTTTTCTTTTTCTTTTTCTTTTTCTTTTTTTACATAAATTTTAATTAAACAAGGCCAGGATAGTGTTCAGTGTGTGTCCCTGTGGCATCCATCTGTCAGATGGCTCATATTTATTGGAGGCTGCTGTGAAGAAAGCAGATTATTAACTCTGTGCAGAAAACAGAATGTAAACATTTCATTCAGGCTCTGTGAAATCTCTTCTGTTTTACAGATATTTCAGACTCCTTCCTATTTTCCTTTAATTTCCAATGAACAATTTTTAATTATTAGGCATATTTATGTGAAATTTTTTTTTTTTTTAACTATTCATAAGAGAAAGGATGGAAAGTCACTTTCTGTCCAGTAAGAATTTCTAATGTATCAACCTTTGTTTTAGTTCCTAATCAAGGAGAAAAATCATTTTTATGACATGGTAGTTCTGAATCTCACTTAGAAACGGTRAGATAGTTTTGGGTGGACATTTCAAACAAAATTATGTATTTTTTGCCATTCCCCAAGCGAAAATATTTCAGATTGCTGAGGATTTTTTACTATTTCATTAGTATCAGTTGAGTGTTAAACTGTAGCTGCTTGTTTTATGTCTGTATCTTCCTTGTGTTTTTGGCCACTTTGCAGCCATATTTTTCCCTAGCAATTTAGGATTCCTGCTCCACAGCTCCCAGTCATCAAATGGCTCAGTGAGAGATGAGACCAGGGTATATCAGGAGCAATGTTATCAGCTCCAGAAAACTGATCCTAAAGGATAAACAGGATTATGAAGAATAACTGCTATGATGGACCACATAAAGACAGCTTTATATTAAGTTAGCTTCAAAACACTATTTCAGTGTAGCTGAAAAATTGGAATATTTCAAATAGAGCTAGCTTTCTGGAARTAAGCTACTTTATTGACATTTTCCTCAGACAGAACATCTTTTGAGAGAGTTTTGACATAACTCACGTTTTACACCTTAAAACTGGTTATAATTCTTCCAATAACTACTTTTCTCTGAAAGTAATTATGCTCTTTTTTCCATTGGTGTCATTCCACTTTAGAGGAAGTCCTCAAGTCCTTTATAGCAGTTTCTTTCACCTTTGTTTTAAATGTTTAACAAGACAAAACTGTTGTTAGGGAGTTAGGGATAGCATTAATTAACTAAATTTAATCTCTCTTCCTGCAGCTTGTGGAGAATACCTTTCGGGCTCCAGAGGAACCTTCAGCTACCCTAACAGCCCAGGCAGTCAGCGGTATGATGATAGAGTCAGCTGTGCCTGGGTTATTTACACTAATCCTGACAAGGTAAAATAGAGCTCAAGTTAAAGAAACCCTCACACTGCGGGCCCCTTCAGCTCAACAGCAAACACAGCTGTCCTCATGCCATGTGTTCCAGGATCATGGTCCAACACCTGTGGAATAAAGAGCTTTGCAAAAATAAGTTTTAGGTTCTTACAAGCCTTCAGACTCCTGAGCCCAAGAATTTGCCTGCATTGTGTTTTCAGGGCTTTCAAGTGTCTTTAGCTGAAGGTTAGAATGTATTTATTCCACAGTCACTGCCTTCAAAAATAAGACCTTAAGAAAAAGCACCAAGTGACTGAAGATTTCTAATAAATTTATGAGAGCTGACATCACCCACAACCACTTATAGAAGCTGTGCCTTACACTGCTTGAGAAATGCTCTGCCCTTGGTTCATGGATTATGTTACCCCAGAACAATCTTCTGTCTGATTTCTGAGCCCCTGAAATGTGGAATACTGAATTCATATTCAGTGGCTTTGTGCATTGAGAAGTATTTTTTTTTAGTGATTAATTTCTTAATGTTACACTCAGATGTATATTTGAATGGTAATTTGCAATTAACGTTTCTACTTAGGTTGTATCTAACATCCATAAAACACATTATTTGCCCTTTAGCATGGGACTTTTTGCTTGGGATCTAAATGTTTCATATGTTTGATCTATTTTTGAAAGGGAATAAATTGAGTAGGTCTATAAACCTCCAGTGGTTTATACATCATTATATGCTGTAGTATATACTGTATAAACCCGCTAGTGATTTACAGAGCATTATATGCATGTGGTGGATCCTGTGCTTTATGTCTGAGAGCCATTAGTGTCTTAGGAAGAGCTATTTTTAGATGTATCATTGGGAGATCCAAACTTGCACAAAGCTGGATATGCCCTTTTTGCTTGGAGCTGGTTTACAAGACACAGAATTGATATGCACAAAAAATCATTTTTAAATGCCATGACAATATTTCAGTCATAGAAAGGCTGAGAAATTTTAATTATCTCACATGAAAAAATACCATAGGAAACTTATTTGTTCTCTATTTTAAGCCTTTCACACATAGCACACACAGGCAAATGATAATAATTATTATTTTATAGGAAGAATGTTCTTTCCAGACAAGTCGCTCGTTCAAATTCTTTCTACTTTCTTGTGTCTTGGCCCTTGAGATTCTCTAAAATCTTCTTCTATCCTGAATCTTTTCAAGAAATGGCTCCAGACTTTGTGGATGCTCACAACTCTATGAACAAGTATATCTGCATCATGCAGAATTACTGCATAAGCAGTAGATGGACAAAGAATGATTTCATATTTTGCTACTTCCTGATAGATTCTGCGTATAACTTTCCCRTTCTTCCAACTGGAGGCAAGTAATGACTGCAGCTCTGACTTCCTTCAAATCCATGATGGGGGCTCAGCATCAGCACACATGCTGGGGAAGTACTGTGGCACCTCGCCTCCGGCAGAGCTCTTCAGTACCCACCGTTCCCTGTATTTTTGGTTCTATTCAGACCACAACATTACAGCTGGAGGCTTCACTGTGCACTGGGAATCTCGGGATCCCGGTAAGGCTGATGTAATCTCAGACAATTTAGCATGTGGAGCAAAATGAATGATTTGTTTTGCTCATTAGGAAAAATCAGTAGCAATAAGGCAGTATTTTATTAATGAGTGATATTGAAATAGTAACTCGTGTTATTTTTAGATGTGTTATTTTTATCCTATTAAAACTACAGGATAGTCTTTCCCTTGACTTGATATGCAGTATTCAAAACTGCTTTGTGTGGTATTTCTTTTCTTTTAGAATGTGGTGGTGAACTGACAGGTACTTATGGCTCAATAAGTTCTCCAGGATACCCGGGTCACTATCCTGTTAACAGAGACTGTTTCTGGACCATCTCAACCAGTCCTGGACTCCTCATCACCTTTGCTTTTGGCACACTAAGCCTTGAACACCATGAAAATTGCAGCTATGACTATCTAGAGGTAAAGCGTCCTGGTGAATTACAGCAACATTTTAAGGCAGTGTTATTGCAGAACAATATGTTTAAAAGCTTTTTTTTCTATATATGGAAGAGAAAGCTTGAAAATTAAATCCTGGGTTGACACATTCACTTACCCAGTAATGGAGGCCCACTTAGGCATAGGCAGAATAACACAAAAGGATGAAAAAATTGCTCCACTGAAGTTAGTAGAAGTCTTGTCACTAAAGAAAGCGGAATTCAGACCAAATACGTATTGAGAAACTTTCCCCTTTTCACAAAGTCCCATCACCAAACACAGGCGAATGTCTGCTCTCAGAAAATCCATCAGCAAAAGGAAAACTATTAGAGCAATGGGCATAAGATTAATAGGTTCTTATCACACCACCATCAGTGGCTCCATGTGTGAGTTTTGGGCTTTTTCTCAAGTTCAGACTGATCATTATGGAATTCACAAATGCCCAATTATAGAAACGAGAAAATAGTTTAGAATGGGAGAGTCTTCAAAACCAGGAACTGCAGAGTATGATTTCAGGAAAACAATATAATAGTTGATCTCTTGATATTTTCTTTCTCTCTTGCAAAAACCTTAATGATCTTTCCTAGGTGCACCAACGCAGTTCGGCCGGTGGGTCTATTTCTTGCTCCTTGTGTGTTTGGGGAAAATTTTCTATCAGCTTTTGTTCCACCCACCATGCACATTATCTCCTGCAGTCCTTTAAAATATCTTTAACAATATATAAATCTTAAATGCTGATTTATCATTTCATTTAGATTCGAGATGGTCTCCTTCCACAGGACCCAGTCCTCAGTAAATACTGTAGCACTGTCTCTCCACCCCCACTCCAAACCACTGGTCCATACGCATGGATTCACTTCCACTCTGGTGACTTAGTTACTGATAAAGGCTTCTACATTGTCTATACAACATCACCTGGTAAGTTAAATTTGTCATTAAACTTACGACTTATAGGACTGTCACATTCCTATGATGTAGCCAACAGGACATGAATAGATGTCAATCTAATCTTCAATCTAATAATACAGGAAGCTGCTTTGATTTGCAGCCATTGTACAGAGACAGCCTTAACTGAAAGAATTATGATACTTACGAATAACTCAACTAATTTTCTTTTTTCTTAATACAGGAGATACAAATTGTGGAGGAAATTACACAGGCAGTGAAGGGGTTATCATGTCCCCTTTCTGGCCTAACCCTTACATTAATAACCGACAATGTATCTACATTATCACACAACCAGAGGATGAAAAAGTATACCTCAACTTTACCCATATGGAGCTGGAGAGTCACACTGGTTGTTCATCGAATTATATTGAGGTGAATTTTCATAAGCAAYGGATAGAAAGGATTGATATATGTGTGCAAACTGAGCAGCATAATTTCTGTCCTTCTGCAAGAATAGACATTAATCAAGGGATTAAGAACATCAGTTCAGTAGGATCCAAAAGGCACAGGCTCTGAAAGAGCAGGGCTCTATATTCAGAATGAATCAAAGATGAGAGGACAATAAAATCAGTCTAGCATTATACTCATCCTCAGTCAGCTCAACACAATTCATGTGGAGTTCAAACCTTTGGTGAATGCATGCCCAGTGCAAGCACAATATAATTTATACCACAATTATTATGTAGCGTTTTCTGGAGTCATGGTGCTCAGAATCTTGTTTATGGGCAAAAAGGAAGCACTGTGTATATATATATATGTGTGTGTGTGTGTGTGTATATATGTGTGTATATATATGTTGCTATGACTGAAGTGAGTCTAATTCAAGAATTAGACTAATTCATCTACTAGTGTAGATGTTTTGACAGCTGCAGGGCTAGGGGAGGAGGGGGTGCTCCCCGAGACCCGCCATGAGGGCCCCGCGCAGCTCTGCCGCGCGCCGCCTGTTGCTGCTGCAAACGAGGCGTGGCCGCCATGGCCGCCGCCGCCATTTTGTGCCTCCGTCTGCACCGTTGCCGCTGGTGCTGTGGCACTGTGGATGCACCTGGCGTGGAGAAGCAGAGGGAAAACAGCCTCGGGCACCTGGTCAGTGTGAAGAATTGCTGCCATGGCTAAAGCAAGTAAAGGAAACTGCGGGCAGGTCAGGAAGAGTTCACCTGGAGCAAGGCTCAGTCCTGAGGCCTTGCAAATTCAGTGCAGAATTTAAGCTTATGGCTTGTTCCTAGCAAACAAAATACTGCATTATAGGGTAACCCAGTTACAATGGTAATGTGGGTTTTGTTTTGTTATGTTTTTAATCTTTTTTTTTTTTTGACCAAACTAGGAAAAGGTTCCTGTGAGCTCAGTTTAGTTAATCTGTTTTCAAAAGATTTGTTATTGTGTTAACATCGTTCCTCTCACTCGCCCTCTAATTCCGAGACTTTGGTTGGAATGAAGTATAATTAATTTCTGCAACGCAAGGGGAAGTGTGTTTAATGAAAACAGACAGCTTTTGTTTGTTTGGCCTGGGCCTCCTCTTGCCTAATTGCTGGCAGAAAGGCAGCTAAATTCACGGCAGCCAGAGAAACAAAACCATTTCTGTTGAATACAGTCAGTTGGTGTTAACTCAGCAAGGCATTTACCTTGTTGTTCACTGACCAGTCACAAGAAGCACCATTTCCCTGCATTTCTTTCTCCCAGCCTTCTCTTTCTCCTCAATTTCCAAGGCAATGGCTTTGTCACTTTYGAAAGACACAGAGTATTCAGAGCCCTGGTTGTGCCAGGAAATCTGCAGCTCCCGGGGCAGCCATGGCCCTGCCACCCGCAACTGCAGCTGAGGGGGCCCAGGGAAATCCTGGAAATGATGTGGTCACGGGGAAATCCTGGCTCTTCCCAGCCCTGCAGTGACCTCATTGCAATGACTTGTTGGGGCAATCCCAGCCAGAGCCAGTTTTACAGCAGGGGGAAAAAAAAAATCGTTTTCCTTTCAGGAGAACTTTGGGGAACATCTGGGCTCCTTGGTGGGTGTTCAGAGCTCCTCACCTAGCAGCATCTCAGCCCTCGCAGCTTTTGACCAGCGAGTGCCTTACCTGTCCCTTCGGAGCCATAGAAGAATTCTGGAAGCACATGCCCATGTTGTGGCAGCTGTCATTCACAAGAGAGAATGCTCTSATGCCCCTAATATCTCTGGTTGGTGGGAAGAGGGTCTTCTGTGCTGGTATCACCCATCCTTCCTTTGAGATCTCATAAATGAAGTATCTGTGCCAGTTACTGTAATGACCCTTTGACTTTTTTGTTATTTAGCAGTTCTTGTAAGATTATAATTTATCCATGTATCACTGCTTTTATGATCTGAGCTATTTGTTTTCCATTTTAATGGGGAGTGCTGAACAATCTTTTCTTTTTTTAGGTTCGGGATGGTGACAGTGAGATGTCTCCTCTTATTAATAAATTCTGTCATAGTACGTTTATGTCTCCAATCACTTCTACCAGCAACAGTCTCTGGATCAAGTTCAAGACTGATGCTTCTGCACAAAGGGGTAGCTTCAGGGCCGTTTATCAAGTTGGTAAGATTAACTGCTGACTTGCCCAGTGATTTGCTGGGTCTGTAACTTGGACACTTTCAGTCATTTCTATTCTCTGACACACATGAAGTTGATTTAAGACAAACTTAGTTTATTTAATGCACTCTTCAGAAATGCTAAGGCGATGTCTACTCTAGGTCTCCTGTAGGCAGTTTTACCATATTTGAAAATATATTTACTATTACTTTTAGTAATGATAAATTACTTACACTTACAGATCACTAACAGATGACAGATAATGTAACACTATAACCATAACTCTGCCTAAATCTGTTTACATTCATTATTCCTTTCCTTCAACTCTTATTCATCAACAACCATACCTAGTTCTCTGAAACAAATGAGTCAGACCCCTAAGTTTTCATGAATAGAATTACCTTGGTCTTTCATGCTTATTTATACTTTCATTTATGCTTTCATACATATTTACGTAATTATAAGAGCAATTTYTCTTCTAAATCCTTTCTTAATCCTACCTGGATGATCCATAGTAGGTGTTGTGAGACTATAGGATTGTAGAAGTGGTTTGTAGTTAACTTCATAGTGATATTTTGTAGATATCAAACCATTCATTTCTTGAAAGCATTCATCACAACTATTGCCTTTTGGTGCCTGTTTGCAGCCTGTGGAGGCTCCCTGTCTGGGGCGGGGACCATTCACTCCCCTTACTACCCCAGGACGTCCTCTTCCCTGAAAACCTGCGAGTGGATCATCTCCCAGCCAGATGGCCAAGTGGTGATTCTTAACTTCATCGACTTTGACATTCGAAATACAACCACTTGTGACTCAGACTATGTTGAGGTAAAGACTAGTACACTTGTACTGTGATTTACTTAGAGAGATTCATATCTGTATGATCTTTTTCATGCTCAGCTTCATTCAAGTGCATGCACAGCTTAATAGATAAGCTCCCATTTTACAGCACTTAGAAACCAGCCTCATCAGAGGAGGACTCAATATTTCTTTTTTGATTTTCCAAGGATAATATCGTCATTTTCATAATCAGAGACATTGGTGATGYCTGTCAGATGTCTTTGAGCAGACAAGCCTGGTTTTGGAGGTTTGCATGATAGCTATTGTTGAGGTTGCAAGATCTCAACTTTGTCCATTTGAAGCACCTCAGCTGGGAGAGGCCTTCTGCAGCAGTCATGAGGCTGCACTGGATGTGCCCATAGTACAAACCACGCTGAACAGAGGGCAGGGCATGGCTTGCTAAGGACTTCTTCTATATTGTTCTTAYGAATTCATTTATGCTAACTACTTTAATACAGTAGAAATCTGTATGGGATACTTGAATACACTGTTCTTCAGGTCAGAGATGGCAACAACACAGACTCTCCTCTTCTGGAGAAATACTGTGGTACAGCAGTACCATCTCGAGTGCAGTCTTCACGGAACTATCTCTATGTCAAATTCAGAGCTTCTTCCCTTACCAACCTTGGCTTCAGAGCTGAGTACTGGCCATTAGATGGAGGTAAGGACTTTGTGTAGACATGTGACTTTGCAAATGTTTTTATGCACTGAAATCGCTGTCCCATCGAGTTTTACAAAGATGTAATGGAAGATAAATTCTGAAAAAAATTACTCTGTAGCGTGCATCAAGGGAAAAATGGCTACAGAATTTCAGAAATAGAGTAATTGATTTTATAAGTGCCTTTTGCCTGAATAAATATTTAATTTAACTTCATGTTTTAAATCTCTACAGCATGTGGGGAGGCTCTCACTGCACCARAAGGAACTATTACAAGCCCAGGTCATCCAATTGTCTACCCCCATGGTATTAACTGTACCTGGACTATCAACATTCAGCCTGGCTACCTTATCCGCCTGACGTTCACTTCATTTAACTTGGAGTTTGATTATAGTTGTAGAAAGGATTATCTTGAAATCTATGACAACAGCACCGTGCAAAAATTGGGAAGGTGAATATGTCCACTAGCTAAATAGCTGATTTATTGTAAAGTGTGCACTGTTCTGTAGATYTCTCCATCCATTTTTCTTCCTCAGATTTTGTATATAAATTAATGTCTTTGCATTGCTGAAATAACAAGAGCAACATTCCTGCATAGCCTAGTAAAGGCAGCTTCTTTCTTTAGACATAGAGTGAGCACCACATTTAGTAAATATTACAGTGGGAGAAAGTAATGTGTGTTAAAAACACAGCTTTTCTTAAGTACAAGTTTCAATAGCTGCCACTGACCAGTGCCTTTTGGATGTTAATTTATGGGAATAGTTTTAAAAGCATTAATATGCCTGTGCCTAGGAAAAGACATGATTTGAAACACTTGTGGAAGTGAAAGATTGCTTGAAAGATTGTAGATTGGAGTTCCAGCAAAAACTGAAGTCTTTGTCTTAGAAGACTTGTTTTCATTTTCTCCTGATATGTTTATACTAGGGCAGAACAGGCTGAACAGTCTTTTCTTTCTTCCCCCCACTCACCAAGTGGGGTGTACCCAGGGGTTTCTCGCCATCCTTGAACTCAAGAACATCGAAACTACTTAGGCTCAGAGTGTCCAGCTGCAGCTGCAGCCACACACTCTGAGGTATCTGGTTAATATTTGGCCTACAAGGAGCAAATGGCTGTCATGCTGTAATGGAGAGTATTTTGCAATCCTAATCTTTTGCCAGTCACTCTAACTCCTGCTTGAAAAATGGAGTATGTTATAGATGAAGCATGGACTTTTACATTAGAAAATAAAAGAAATCAATTTTTTAATAAAAAATTGACTACTCAGTGCCCACCTGGTCCTTTGGTTTTGCCATGCAAGATACATGGTATATCCTTGAATATGTAGTGGTGTACTTCATACCTTGTTAGAGCTTACATGGCTGGGATCTGTACCACCTAAAGAAGGCATTTGTGTGTGCGCAGCTGTTGAAGCTTCTCAGAAAAGTTCAATCTTCCTCCATTAACACAGATGCTTCATGAAGCTTTGTGTAAGTTTGGGGCATTGTTTTTGTTGCAGGTACTGTGGCAGATCAGTTCCACCATCACTCACCAGCGGTGGCAACACGATGACACTCTACTTTGTGACCGATCACAGCACAGCCTCGGAGGGCTTCACAGCTAATTACATCTCCCTAGATGCATCAAAAGGTAACATGTCAGTATGTTCATTATGCAAGCTCAGTGTTTTCAGCTGTCACTGCGCATAAACACTATAAGAATTTTTTTTTCTGTTATTAGCAGAAGACTGCCCCTGTAGCTCTTCTACCCCTTAATTATAGCTGCTTGATTCACAAGCCTTTTCCTGTCTGGGAAATATGACCAAAGCAGAAAACAATTTCTGTAGGCAACACTACTTCTTTCTTTAGAACTGCATGAAGTATTTAGGAAAAGCATTTCCTGAATTTGCTGTGCCTGATCTGAGCTTGCATAATCTAGGAAGTGCACAAATCATGATTTTAGTTGCAATATTGATGATGGACAAAAAAAGTACACATATGGTGCTATTAAAAAGGCAGGAAAATAACTTGAGAGAGCATAAACCTTTTTGTTTCTTTCCTTTTTTCTTTCATTAAGACTGCRTGCAACTTTCCTGACACCAGCAGAGTTCAAGCTTCCTGTTATGACTTAACTTTGTTCCTTAAGTATCTCCCTTTTATGAGGTGAAGGCATATGTCAGCAGGAGAACAATTGTAAGGGAAGAATGACCACTCATTCTCTCAGATCTTTCAACCAGAGCAATTACTCAGAATTCTAATTAATCTGAAGGTTCTCCAGAACAGGCACATCTGTGTTTCCCAACTCTGCTGAACCCGTCAAACCTTTTCCAGTGTTTGCACATCTCCCCAGCTTTTGTTAGCACTGACTGAGCTGCACTTGAGCTGGCAGCCTTTGGGTGAGAGTCTGCGTGYGCCAGTTCCACAGACCCGGTGGGGCTGGGTCTGCTGCTGATCTCTTCACTGCTAAAGCTGAAGCCGCAGCAAAGAGGCCTCCTGTGAGCAAAGGGACAGATTCCACACTGCAAAATTCAACCACAGAAGAGAGGGAACTGGAAAAAAAAAGTACAAGAGAGACTACATCTGTACCTGGGTTACTCTTTAGCCATCAATAAGCAATTTCTAGCTGGTTTGTTTTGTGTGTGCATGGGCAGGCAATGAGGACTTGACTAGATGAATACCAGAAATTCATGGTATTCATCTGTATAGCTATATGGATAACCAACGGCTGCTCATTTTTTTGCCTGTATTATCTTTAGGTATTTTATTTTTCATACTTCATAAGTTTCTCCAGCTTACCTAAAAACAGCAAAATTCTAATTTCTTTCTTGTGAAAAATAACTTCCTTCCTAGTTGTTAGCCTGGACAATTTGGCTGTTATTTCATCTCTGAGGCATGTGTGTAGGCGAGACCAGTACAGATTTTGCCACTGTGTTTTCACTTGCCACCAGATAACTTATAAATGCAAATAATCCTTTTTCTCAGCTGCCTTCATTCATACTGATGTTATCTATCTGGCATGAAACCACAAAGTCAGTAAAAACAATTAAGATTTAATAAAACCTCTTCCAAGGAGGAACCTTCTCTTTGTTAGTAAATAATAGGCCAAAAATACATTCTACTTTTAAAAATCTTTCCAAGAAAGACTGTATTTTGAAAACTGAGTTCTTGCTTATGAGAAATTGTGAATTATTAGCCTTGTAAAGAAGATAATTTGTTGTTCTGKTTTTGCAAGCGCTAGCCGTAACTTCTTTAAAGGCAATTTTACTGCTTGTTAGCGTGATATTTTGTCCTTTAGCTTAAATTAATATTTCTTGGGTAAAGGGCATTCCTTCCTAGCAATTCCTGCAGCAGCTCTTCTCACAGTTTAAGACCAACAAGGTCTCTGCTCAGCATTAACCTGTTTTCTGTCCCTGGGCAACCCCATCACCGTGCCTGGTGTGTTAGCGAGCCCACAGGRATTTCTGCTCAGCTTCACTGCTCTGCAGCCCCGCTCCTTCCCTGCCACAACAGACCGGCCTTCCCCATCTTTTGGCCAGGCACTGCCATAGGCATCGTGCAAGGTTTTAACTATATAACCACCATCCCTGGAATGATTTCAAAGAAGGCTTTAAAAATGCAAGGCTGTCTTCTCGTCAATATATTTATTAGGTAGAAGCAACATAAAGATTTTATATAAAATAAGAGCTACATAATTTCTTCATCCGAATGCTAAGCAACAGGTACAATTGGAGGGCTGTGATGTCTCTTTCCCCATAAGCAGTACTTGTATCTTTACTATTCTTCAGATAAATTGAGGCTATATGCAAAACTATTACAAAAGAATTAATTTATTTCCACTCAGACTCAGAACTATGATGTCTAGAATAAATGTGTTTGTTTTCTGCATCAACCACTACCGTTTGCATTAATGACTGAAACTGGAAATAATAACCTCAGAGAAGTTGAAACACAGATTCATTTACAAATTTGTTTCTTTTAGTCCCAGCATAAACACAGTAGTCCTACAAACTGTCATAAATACTGGATTGCTGGCATTCAGTTTTGATTAAGGGTAAAGTGTCTTGAAGTGGCCTGAGAGGAGGAAAAAAAAGTGTATGTGGACTTTGCTATAAGAAGCTGCTTCCCACTCCTCTGGATTTATATCAAATTTAGGCTTCGTACTGTGAGATTTCTARGCCTGATACTCATTTTATATATATCCAGTTACACTAAAGTAGCAATTGCTGAACATAATAATTTCTGAGAGATTTTCCAGGCTATGGACTTTTTTCTTTACATCTGCAGCCTATTTTCATTTTCTTCTAAGAAAAATATGGTTCTAATAAGGTTTCTTGTGCAATAAGAATCGTTCATATTTTGAGCTATGTTTTCTTAGCCAACTACAGTGTAACCAATATCAGAASTGGTCAAAGCTGTTCTGGTTCATATTAGATGTTACAATAGGCCTTTGCCTGGAGTTATTTTACAGAGAATGAGCTATTGAGAAGATGGAAGGCATTATCACACACACACACACAAAAGAGTAAGCCCGAGTTTTGAGCAGACAGTGACCTGGAAACCCACCTGTTCTTTGAATTTAATTCCTAGCGTCCAGGGCTAGACTAAGACCAGSTTGCTGAATGACGCAGCGGATACATGAGCTTTATTATAGATTTGAGGGTTTCCTTTTGCCCAACTTGGCTGCCTGAACCACAAGGAACCCATGTGAAATCACTGATAAAACTTTGAAAGGGCTCAGTCTTGTTTGGAGGCGCTGCTCAGCATCTGGAARCATCCAGCCTTCACTTCTTCACCAGGAGTAGGACTAGAGTCAGTATATGGAGTCAATATATGTATTTTATTATCCTTGACTTCCTTATATATAATTGGGATTTAAATATTAAAAAAAAAATTATAAAGTCTACTTTTTGCTTTTTGCTTCTAAAGGTCAACCTTAATGAGACTTTTAGCAGATTGAATCCTGATCTTTTTTTTGGTAGTATTTCTCTGGGTTTGGCAAAATTTAAACTTTTTCATCCTTATCACTCTGAGTTGTGAGTAACATGATTAATCAAGGGATGTAACTGGGTTTCAGATAGCTCAGCTTTGTGATGTATTAAAATCACTGACCGCGACTGACAGGAAAAGTCAGCGTTTGAGAAGGATGAAGGGGGAAGAAAAAGCATCTGTGAACCCCTGGACGTAGAAGATGGTCCCCGGGTTGAACCGCAGGCAATGCACAGTTGTGCACGTCTTCCTTCTCCATAGCTGAGTTAGTTCCTAACTGCAGCGAAAGTTTTTAAGGTGTTTGGGTCTGAACCACTCCACAAAGGACCTTTGTGCTCCTTTATGGTCAAAATGAAGCCTGACAGTGTCTGCCAGCAGTTGGAGCACGAGGCCCTGAGGTGCAGATGGGCTTTTCCATTGCCCGTGGGGAGGGTCACACCACATGTGGTAGTTTCTGCCCTTTTCTCTAAACATGCCTGGTGTTACATAAAGGGCTAATTGTTGTGGATCCGAGTTTTCTTTTGGCAGAGGAAGGTCGAAAGAAAACTGCCATTTTACATATGACACTGTAGTTTTCTCATATTTTTGAGTAATTAGAATTGTGGCAGCCGATGAATATCTCTTTATGGGGATAAAACATGGATTGAATTTTCTGTGCTATGCATGGCTGTTGAGTGTGCAGTACAAAAGCTGGCATTTTTCTCCGCCGCTGGCTATATTACAGTATGTTACTGCTGTTTATGGCCTTTTTTTTTTTCAGAAGAGCAAATACATTCAGTACCCAAATCAGAAAGCAGATTGAATAGCTTCAAAAAACGCACATACTGGCAAAGAATGATGTGTGATTGATTGCTCTGGACAATTGACGCCTTCTTCTTTTCATTTAGTGTCTTCAAAATAAATTGGATGAATATTTTTTTCCAGACATATAACAATCACATTATGGAGTTAGAACTGCAGCCTGAGCTTTGGCAAAGGGTCTGGAGTTCTTTTCGTGCCAGCTTTGCTRGTATTTTTCTCTGCAGGGACTATCACTGCACCAGCACATCCCCCTACAGACGCCCTCATGTGCCGTGTTAGGGACCTGGGTGCCAGTTCCCTTGCGAAATGTAGGACAACACGAATGAATCCAGTTACCTGGATTCAGAACTTAGCTGGGACAAAATGTAGATGCTTTGGATGTGTTTATGCTTTTCCTCAGCATTATGGCAGGGTATGCTCAGTCTACAACTGCATTTATTTCACTGTAGCCAGAGGTCTGACATTGCTCACAGTTTTTTTTTTTTTCCTCTCCCTTGCTGTATTTCTGCTCGTAGCTCATAAAGAAGGTTGTTATGCAAAGTGTGGAGCATCAGGTTTAAGGCAGCACGCTTTGGGTTTGAGTTTTTATATGGATYACTGCCAAGAAAGCAAACTTGAGGAGAGGGGGACAACCTGGATAGTCCTGTGGAAATTGTTCTTAAAAGAGCTGATAAAAATAATTTGGCTTTCCGGTTGCTAATTGTACCCTAAAGGCCCTTATCTAGTAYATCAATTTTAATACTTGCCAGGCTGAAGGCTATTAATGATCTCGGCCTCTGTGTGAATAAGAAAGCAGTGTAAGAAAGGGTAAGCAGTCCTACCCCTAAATAAATGTTCATGAGCTAGGCACCCACCCTTTGAAACTCAGAAGTTAATAAGTTCAACTTCAGTAAACTAGTCAACTTATATATATATTTTCATTCTAGTTCTTAATTGCTGCCTGTGTGATGAGCCTTTAGGGGTGGCACAGAAATCACCCTTCCTAGTGCTTTATCCTTGACGCTAGCAAGCTTTAGTAGTTAGAATGGGTAAAGAACAATAATGGAAAGGACCAGCCTTAAATATGGAGCCTAAACTGTACTTGAATCCTTTCCCTCTAAATTATGATGCATATTGAAATATTGTGAATGTCATTATACTGCAGCTGTGGGGTATTAGAGATCAGGTTTCAGAGATCTGCATGAGCCAGTGTAAGTAAGTCTGAAGTTAAGCACAGTATTCYGCTCACTCTCGCAATCATACTTTTTAAAGTAGTATAACCCTGCCTATTTGTTAAAAAATCTGCATTCACTTCTTATTTTTGCAATCTGTAGGATCTGATATACAGAACTGAGAACCAGAATGAACCTCCAGAGTCACCAAATCCAACTTTATCCCCTTTGCAAAGACCTTTATCATGCAATCTCCATTTTAATCAAATTAGCTAAACAATATCTGAAAAGCAGGTGTTTCTTTTTCCCTTTTTGCTTCTGTTACACAATGAGAAGATTGCTCTAGAAAATTTCACTTCCTAAAACTTTCTTCTAATTTGAGTTTAGTTTTGTTCATGCAGAGCTTCTGAGCTTTGGAGTTTGTGCTGTGAGGAGAGAGGGCTCCAGTTTCCTCCTTCTTGGTGTTTATCTCCTCTTCCTTCCTGCTTCCTGTGTAAGGATAGCTGTATTCCATCCTGCCCTTCATTTGCTAAACTAAACAAGTTAGCCTCTTTTCATCTCTTTTGCTTGACAGTCTCCTAATTCCCCATCATTTCTACAACCCCTCTCAATACTTGTGTTCATTTGATTTCCAGCTTATCAGTAAGCAAGGTTATGCACATTCTCCCAGGTGATACGTCACCATTGCTTTGTACAGCAGCTTCAAGAGGCTCTGTTTCTACTGGAAACATCCCACATGGCTCCCGTTTCACCTTGTCCTTTTTGCAGCCAGATTGTGAAGGATCATTTGGCCCGTGATCAGCTAACACCTGAAGATAGTTCTCTCCAAACTAAGTCTTGTCATCAATAAGTATTGACTTCAATAAGTCAAAACATTTCACAGCAGATGTTTTTATTCCGAGTCTACATGTCTAGGCTTTCAGAAGAGCTTCTATTTTTTTTCCTCAGTTTCTGTCTTACTCTACTCTCTTTTCTTCTTCGCAACTCATAATGCCAAGATAATTCTTTAGTGGCCACAGGGCAAGCACTGTAACTGATTTTACTATCAGACTTCCAGTAAAAAGGCTTTGTCCTCAAAGTCGAGGGATTGTATTGTTTTCCACCTGAGTGTCATTATAGCCATTATAGAAAACAGGAGAAGAAATTTAGAAATAAAATCCTCATGTCCGGAGTTTGATTGTGGGGAATGCCTAGGAGCAGCATAGTATCTCCTAATAGCTAAAGACTGYGTTCAGCTTCCAGCACCACTGCTTTGAAGAAACTGGGAACCCTGCTTCCCACCCTGCTTCCCATGTTGATCAGGGCATCCTTTTCAGTTTCCYTTTTGTGCTTACCTGAGTATTAGGTCATGGCCAACTCGGGTAGCTGCAACTGCTCTTACACTGTGCTCTTATTATATGGTGTCCTCGTAAAAGCTAGACAAATGAACTCAAGAAACTCTGTACAAAAGGTGGATTCTGTACATAGTGATGGCACTCTGCTGTAGGATGTGTCCAAGTTGAGTTACAAATCACAGGAGTGCAGGATGTTTGTTCCTCTGTCTGTTGGAAAGCCATGTTTCCTGCCAGTTTAGTGTGCCCATTAAGCTCYTGCACAACCAGCAACCCTCTCTGGAGGATGCCTCTGTTTACAATGAGTGTGCTGAATCTTCCCCTCATCATGCCCAYGTTTCCTCTTGGACAGTGTGCTCACACCAGTACAGCAGTGAAACCGGCGTGCTGACGTCTCCAAACTATCCCCACAACTACCCGGTCCGCACAGAGTGCGTGTACGGCCTCTCCGTGGGGATGCACAGACAGATCCTGCTGCGTTTCACCGACTTCGCCTTGGAGGGGAATCAACGCTGCACGGAGGATTACGTCGAAATCAGGCAAGCCTCATTCCTGCTCTTGTCCTTGTTCCTGATCATCACGGCCAGATCCATGTAGGCATGTGCAGAGGCTGTAGTTTTAACTATACCCCACGCTGGCAGTGCAGGCAAAGGGCTTATTAGATAAGATTAAATGGCACCTTTTCCTCCTTGTATTCTGTCCCTTTGTCCCGTTTCCCACCTCGCAAATTGCAGTCCCCGAAGCGAGTGCATTTTGTGTAGACTAAATGCCTCCCCACATCCTGGCCCTGGCTGTGTTCCTCAGCAGACACAAAGAGTTTGATTGCTCGCTCAGTGACACATTCTGTCCACAGCCTTTAAACAGCAGCTCTCCTGTGATGCAGCCCTAGGAACACGTGCATCATCCGTGGCATTTGGCTATGCTGGCGCCATCATTAACTTTAGGAAATTGCCACGCTGAACTGAGGGACATTTTAGAGGACAAATACAAGGGATAGGAAGCACTATTTGCAGGAAGATTAGCTGCCTGCTTACAATATAGCCGTGCCAGCTTCCTCTCCATGCTGTGTTGTTCTATGGGATTTGCACTTTGGAATGCCAGTGCACCCGTTTTTATTTCCCATGAACCAGCTCCCCAGGTGAACCAGATCTCCAGAGCCACTGTGTGCTTTTTGTCTCTGTGTCTGCCATGAATTTCCATGACCTCTCTGARTGTGCTGATAAAACACGATGCAATGTTATGTGGTACGGACACCCTACCAGATCCTCTGGATGGGTTTTTCCTCTTTAAGCCCGCCCRCCACTTGAAAATAGAACAAAATTCTCTTCCTGATGTTGCGGTATTAGTTGGACTGTGATGCTGAATTCCTGCCGAATAAGCTGGTTGTTTTCACCTGTGCACACAGACTGGAGAAAGTTATGAAAATCGTCCATATTTTTCAAGGGTTTTATCTTTTTCATTAAAAAGGGGGGGTTATATTGAATCTAACTTTATTTTAACAGTTAAAACATTGATTAGGGGTTAACATGAACTATAATTGTTTTCTTTGCACTCAGAAACTGAAAACACTCAGCACTCGCACAGCTGTGAAGAGCACAGTGACTTTAATTAGTTTTTGGACATGGGGCCAGATCCTTACCAAGTGTAACCAGCCCAGGTGTGCTGGCATGCCTGGATTTCCACAGCTCGTTTTGTCAAACCTGACACCCGTTAACAGAGTAGGCAGAGAAGCCTCCGATGAGGTGCCCCTTGGGTTTCTTGTCCTGAGCTGCCCTGCAATAAGTTACATTCGGTCAGCTAAGAAAACCTTGGATCTGAGCACAGCTGCAGAGAGAGGCCAGGGTGCAAGTGAGGAGGGTTTGGGCACGGTTTCTTGGGCACTAGTAACCTGAGACGGCAGATGCCAGCAAGCAGCTTAAGGAGAATGGCAAGGAAACTGCCAGCAAGAGTGGCATGGCCTAAGCAGAAGTCTCTCAAAAGCAGTACAGCCATCGAATATACAGCTGAAAGTCTTACTGTCTACCTAACAAACATATTAAGGTGAGACCTAAGTATAAATAGAAATATATTTATAATTATTCTAATAARTTGTATGATATTTATAATATGAAAGTGCTTGTCTTAAACAGGTTGGCACCAGTCTTTTTTTGGTCCTTTTATGTGGGATGTGTGTAGGTAGCACAGCAGAACATCGGATGTGCGTCTTGCCTACAGGCTTAGGAAATATGACTACTCCTTAATCGAAAGGCAGGAAATAATGGGTTGTAGAGACATTTGTAAAGGCCAAGAAAATAATTCAAGATGTGATTCATATCAGTTTTGAGGTGTGGGTTGCTATTGGTGTGGTGGCAAATTTTAACTTTTTTAATTTTTCCTTTTTTTAAGAAGGAGAAAGTCATCTCATCTGTTTGGGGCCTGGCTAACCAGAGAAAAAGGGCAAACTCTTTTAATTCTTCAGATCAGTAACATTCCTTTGGCTCCAGCTATGATTGCTTCCCTGCAGAAGACGGAGAAGGATATAAGGAGTTGCTGCCWCTGCAGCATCCTGTGTCCTGAAGATGCTCCTGGAGTCTCTCAGTGCCTGGAGAGGCAACGACAGGCTGACTGGTGGTATAAAGCAGGCAATTATTGGCAGCAGGACCTCTTACTGCAAGTGGCAGCACTTCAGGATTTAGTGGCTGTGTTTATATGGAAGATGAGAGGCCAAGATTATTCCTCCCCTAGTCCTGGAAGAATCCCTGTATTTATGCTTTATGACCATATCTCTTGCTCTTCCTCTTTGACTCMAAGTTTTTCCTCTCTTTCGTTCTAGAGATGGAGGTTATGAAACTTCCCCACTTCTTGGAAAATACTGTGGTACAGATCTGCCTCCTCTTATAATCTCTCATGGTAACAAACTGTGGATAAAGTTTGTAAGTGATGTGTTTGGCACACGAAAGGGATTTTCAGCACACTGGGATGGTACATCAGCAGGTAAAATGAGCATGTGAAATTTAAAACCATCTAWTTTTTGATCTTTTGTTTCTATTAATTTCCCTTTTTACCACATCTTTTCTGACATCCATCTCCTAAAATTTCTCTGCTGATTACATAGCATTATATATTCAAGTTTGTTACATCAAGGATATATATTTCTCAATCCATGGACTTTCTTTTCTCCATAGGGAAGATACACCATTTTCTGCGTGTATTGTAACATGAACTTTCTCTTGTGTTTAGGGAATCAGTGGTAACCAAGGATACAATGGAGAGGTTCAGCAAGGTTTCTCTTTGAAGAACAGCTGCATTACAAAAACACTCTTCAAATTAGATTAAATATTTCTAGCTAAGGGTCCTTTGCAGGACAAAGTACCTCTGTCTATTCCTTGTATTATTTTTTCTGTCATGTCTGTGTGTGTTAAGTGCTATTATGGTCTCTTTGCCCTTTTCAGGTTGTGGTGGGACTTTGACAACACCATCTGGCATCTTTATGTCTCCCAACTACCCTATGCCGTATTATCACAACTCGGAGTGCTACTGGTTGCTGAGGGGGAACCCAGGGACACCCTTGGAAATCCAGTTTGAGCAGTTYCATCTAGAGAATCACACGAAGTGCAACTTCGATTACCTTGCAGTACGTACCCTTTGCAGCAGAGCTGGCAGCTACACAGTGTGTGATGAATGTAAGGATGGAGACAAGGACACACGGTCCTGGTGGCCCAGTGCTTGTGTGTGAGCAGACCCAGGATAGGAAAGCTCCATCCTGAGTTGCTATCTTCATGTCAGAGAGCACTGAAGAGTCAGGCTGCAGGCTCTGTATGTGTGCACACAGATAAGAAAAGCTTTTAGAGCTAAATTCAAAGGCCGCTGAAGCAGGAATCTACTTGCTTTATGTTAGATCAAGGCCATAGAGTATGCTGATTTTGTAACCTACAAGCAAAAGGGCACTATAGGGACAACAACCCTATTGTTAATCCCTAAATCCATATTCCAATTTTTGCATAAATATCTCAATATTTGTATCAGTGTTGAAGTTGAGTACAGTTTTCCCTCTTTTGGTGAGTAAAACCTTCACAATCCACCAGTATTTGATTACTAACTCCCTGCTGTTCCACTGATTTCCTAATTTCAGAAATGCCTGTGAGGTTCCTCTGAACAGAAATGCTGTTTAACCTCTTGCGCACCTAATGGGGAAAAAATCCCTAAGCAGACATTTAGCTAGGGAGAAATTGCTTGGATGTGTAGTGCTACCAGCTTTATGAAATTTAGTACTTATTTTCAGAATTGTGCTGTCAAGCTTGACATAGTTCTAGTTTCTCAAATTCTATAGCAAGCAGAATCACTAGGATTATATTTTTCAGAGGAACTGGCACATTTGTCTTCCTAGGAAGTTCTCCACTCCTCAACTCCTTTTTTTTTTTTGATTTATTCTGAAGGTGTTTGACGGTAACAGCAGCAGTGCCAAGCTGCTGGGTAAGTTCTGTGGCAATCAGATACCGCAGCCTATCCGCTCCAGTGGCAACACCATGTATGTGAAACTAAGGACAGACAGCAGTTTGCAAGGTGGAGGGTTTCTTGCTAAATACAAACAGGGTAAGTAAGAAAACGTGAGGAAAACACATTTCTACAATGCAGTTTGCTCCTAAAGTTACTTCTTGCAGCTCATGATCTTATTTATTCACCCTTCGAAGACAGTGTGTAGAACATATAATTGAGCCAGATACTTTAATTTGCTACGGTCCCAGCACACAGAGCCCTAAAAATGATCAGTGCCCAAAGGAGATACCTGTGATGGAGGTTGTCTCACTAGGGGAAAGCTGGTGAAGCGGCTCTGCTGCTGTTACTTGCATCAGTAGCCCTTTCTGCTCCTGGTTTATCCCGAGTAACAAGTGTTGAAAGCCTCTAATCCAGTAGATTGGACTGTTGCTGCTCTTCTGCTGACCAGACTCCTGAGGCTTTTTCTAGACAGAGAGAGGCAGATAGAGAAGGCTCTTCTGCTCTTCTGGCTGCGGGGAGGCCAGATGGCAGTGGATCAGGGATTCACCCTCAGTCACCATGGCTCGTTGCAGACACATGGGAGCTTTTAGCCTACTTGGAACACTTCAAATAGTTTCATTTTTAATATCTTTTGGTAAAGGGTCACACTTTTCTTCCGCACAATTTTTTGTAAAATAGTGTTGCCCAGAAGCATTGGAATAATAAAATTTGGCAGGACAATACATGAAGAATTATTATTTTTTTGTTCTCAGGCATAAATTCAAATCAAAATTCAAAACCCAAATCATCTCACTGTTTATTTTTCAGTCTAAAATATACTAGTATGGTGTGGAATTTCACAATATACCAGGTGAATTACAAGCGTATTTGGGCACTCTAAAGATGACAAATGTTAGAGACTGCTGTAAGTCTATAAGACCGTAAGTTCCCCTTAGGTTTGAACAAAAGTAAATGGATAATGAAAAAAATACTCATGCACACATGGCACACACAGTACTTAGAAGGATGAAGAGGCATTAAGCTTTGGCTTGCTAATTACTTTAGGAAATCAGAGATTCATCTACCACATACTTTTCATACTGCAAAGTCAACACAATATATTCAAATAACTTTTTCCATTCATTAATTAGATGAGAAGAGCACTTACAAACCACTTGGATGTACAGCCTGAGCTAGCAGATAATGTGATCTGCACTTTACATTCATATTTAATTCCCGAAGATGCACATGCCCCACAGATAACTGTGTGTCACTTGCCAAAGGCTAAAAATATGCAAGAGGTTGGGATTTAAAATAAGGATGTAAGATGCATCTTRTGTGTGTATAGAGGGACAGTGATGATTTGGAAAGCACTGCAAAAGAAAATATACTATTAGATTGTCACTTAAGGGCACTGGTGTGTTTCTACTAAAATCCTGACAGGAGCGGGGAGCATCTTTTCCCCATCTTCCATTCCTCAGAATCTGTTTCACGCTCTTCATCCTGTCCTTCAAACACTTCAGTGCTTCAGTGCAGCTCTGCATGCAGGCCCCGCTTCACCTGCCCCCACCCACAGATGTATTTTGGGCATGTTGAAATCCTAAAAACACAGACCCTGCAGCTCCATAAATCATTTGGAAAGAATCCAAAACCTGTGCAGGAGGTAGGTGTCTCACCCCCAATGACAACAGAAGGGTTGGGCAAGTGAATCTCAGCTGTTTCTGCTGCTCAACCCCTGCAGATTTGCTGCMCAAGACAGCTCCTTGCCTGCTGCCCACTTCTCTGTACACTAGTCTGCTCTGCCCCCTGGTACACCCCGTGCTGTCTCCAGGGATCCTGGCATTTTCTGCCTTTAATGAAAGTCAAGTTCAGGAAAATTAGCAKCTCTGACCTTGTGCCATGGTCATTGCTTCACTCCAGGGTAGTTTCTTTTTTGATTTTCTTTGCAGTTTTAGCTTTCGTTATCCCAGGTCAATGTCCAGTTCCTGTGCTAGGACTTGACTGGATGACTCACAAAGAAAACCATGGCTCCTGCTTAAAGAATATCATACTCACTTCCAATTCCTGGAGCCAGGACATCCAGTATAAGCAGTGCTGTTTTAGTTCTTTTTTTATTCAGTAGACAACCTTTGTTGAGCTTCCCCCCACTGTAAATTATTTGAAAATGATGGAGGAAGGTGAGACATACACTGCATTTCTATTATTAATTAAAAAATAMTAAGAGCTAGAAGAACAGGAATCAATTAAAACTAAAGAAAACAGGCAAAATGGTAAAAACAGTTTTAAAAAATGGCTGATGAGTCTGTACAAGGTTAGGAAAGAAGGATATATTAGAAATGAAAGATTAAGTTTCAAAATGTCTGAATTTTGCTTGTAATGAATGCAACATATCCTTTGATATGTTGTATTTTTCTTTCTGTCTGATTTCTGTAACTTACCTTGCTATGATATCAGTAGCTTTAATTCATAATTTTTTAGATCCTGAGACAAGATGCACTGCACAACTCTAATTTATTGTCATCTTTCATTTTTTCAGTTTGCCATGAAGTGCTGACCGTTAATCGTAGCCATGGCATCTTGGAAAGTTTAAATTATCCAAATAATTACGCGTTAAATGAACGTTGCAACTGGACCATCCAAATGACCATGGGGAACACGCTCAACTACAGCTTCACAGCCTTTGATTTAGAAAGTGAATCTGACTGTAACCATGACTACCTGAAGGTGGGTACCTGCATCCTGACACAAGAAAACAATCTATTTCTGAGGAAAAAGGGGAAAGAGAGAGAGAGAGAGAGAGAGAGAGAGAGAGAGAGAGGAGAGAGAGACAGAGAGAGAGAGCAAGCAAAAGGGGGAATTGATCTTGTCGAAACATAGCCATTAAAAGTCAACTGTTTAGTCCAAGCGATGTGGCCGGTCTCCTGGGCACTGAGCTGGGAGGGAAGCACTGCCCAAGAGCGGCTCATCSCACCTGAGGGCGGGTGCCTACAACACGGAGGATGAATCACTTTGCAGGTGCCTAGATCGGAGAGCCTAAACACCATCATAGAACAGACACTCTAGTTGAAGTTAGATCACTTCAATTGCATCCATAATTAGATGGAGATTAATAAGCAAATGAGGGAAGTTCGGTTTCAGAGTCAGCAAGGCAGGGAGGCCGATTGCTTTGTTCTTGATGTTTATCTGAAAGTAGCAGGCAATGTTTAGAAACTTTGAAATGTTTTATTTCCACTCTTTTTAATGAAGCCTTGCTGTGTCTCCTGTTAATATTTTCCTTTTCATAGTTAATCTGCTTCTCTAAAGTGATTTAAGGGATACTGAATTTACCCACAAACAGAGTGAGTCACTTTTAGCCCAGTAAAATTACCTAGTCAACCGAAAGCCCAATATCTTTTATTTTTCTTTCCTCAAGAATTTAACTCGAGGACTTTCTCTGTTTTTCAGTTTTGACTGGGGGAAGCACGGTGACCACTGCTGTGCTGAGGGTTACTAAAAGCTCCTGCCTGTCATTTTGCTGCTTTGCTGAATTAATCCATCCCTCAAGACTCACCCCTGTACAGGATGTCAGCACACATTCCCTGTGCTCTACTTAGGTTTTGCACAAGAGGGCCTGAAATTTCAAGCAGTATCATAGCTACTTACAACCAAGGAGAGCACTAGGGAATAGGGGCCATGTTTCTGGACATATGTAGGACATCACTCTAGGGCCAACTGCAGAAAGTGGAGCAGTAGGCCTTGTGTTGGCCTACATGATGCTCTCCTTAGCTCCCTTTAGCTCCTTACAAGCCAGCTCAAAAATGGGTAATAAACTGGCAAATGTGGTGTTCTTCCAGCTTTCTTGCGCCAGAGCTAGGAASAGAAAGAAAGAATAGCCATGCAAATAAAGCAAACAAGGGAGCACTGTATTGAGAACCAACACAAGTTCGTTAGACCCTGATTTGTTTTTGTGAGGAGGCTGGAAAGGAGACATTGGCGCCAAGCGGAGAGGCCAGTGCTGGTCCCAAGACGCCCGAGCCCTTGATCCGTGAAGGGCAGGGGCCCTGCACACAGTAGCCAGGCAGCGAGGAGCAGCCGCCTTGCCAGAAAGCTCTATTCTGGATGTAAGCAAGGATGGAGGAGTAACGCCAGAGAGCTGGGCCAGAGCACTTAGAAGAAGAGAAATAAAAATATCACAGGGAGGGAGGAGAGAGGGAGCAGCAAAGCACTTGCTSTCTTTGTTTTCACAATTTCTCCTTGCTTCCAATCAAAGAAAATAGAGACTGAAAGAGGTCTACAGAGAAAACCAGTCATGGAAGTGTGCTAAGGAGGCTTTAATTTGCAATTCATGTCGCGTTACTTGAAAGCCTTTTTCCAAATGCCATTAAGAAATAGCACTTGGAAAAGATGTTCTCATTTGGTGGTTGCATGCTGCACAAATATGTGCCATGGTGTAAAAAAGGAGAACAAGGTTGAACTGGCCAGGGAACTGAGGAGCGTCTGCTCCCAGCCCAGCCTGCGCCTTGCGCAAGGAGAACAGCTTGGCCCGGGAATGCGGTGCCAGATGGTGCAGGGGACAGTGGGAATCGGCTGGAACAGGCCTGCTGGCAGCCCACTCTCCAAGCAGCCTGCAGATATTCAGGGCTTTTCTGCCTGAAATCCATGAGGAATCTGACCCCACTGCAAAATGGGGAAAAGGTTGATAATAAGAAAAAAAAAAACACAGCTGTTCAACTGATTTTTTTTTTTTCCACGTGCTAATTTTGAGATTCTTTTATAGCAAAAAGTTGCTGCTCGGGCCATTTCCAGGGGCGGCTGCCAGTGCTGCKGCCTCGGGCAGGGGGGAACCAGGTCCTCGGGGGCTCCCAGGTCCTGCTCCTCCCTGTCCCCTCCAGGATCAGGCTCTCCTGCTCCCGCCCCTCTTGCTCTCTCCCTGCCCTGGCTCCGGGGTGACAGGCACAGGTGGCTTTGGTGGCAGTGTCTACTGTGGAGAAGCTGGAAGGAAAAGGGTTAGTGGGTTTGGTTTAGCTGATGACCGCAGCGGAGGTGAGAGAGGGAACGTGGTAGAGAAGGACGGGGTGTTGTGTGAGACGCTGCGGAGGCCTCACAGCAGAGACCTGGCCCAGCTGAGCCCGGAGCAGAGTCAGGAAATGACACAGTTGCAGAACAAGATGAAGAACAGAGCTGCTACTCCAAGTGAGCGCAGAGAGAGATTGGATGCACGTGGAAATATTTGTACAATCTGATAAATGCCTCAAAGTAGAACTCTGATTTTCTGGAGATGTTTCTGAATTGTGAAGGGAAGAGCGTGGTGTCTGTGGAAGGGTGGGGAGCAGGAAAGGGGGGAAGCTGCTTTCGCACGGGCTGCTGGACTGGCCCACGCGCTGCGGGTTTGGGCCCGGCCTCCCCACTGCAGAAGGGCCTGTTCTTGACTTCTGCGTTAAATTATGACTTCTGCTTCCAACCCAAACCCACAGGCAGTGAATGAGAAGTGTATTTTGAGACGAATTCAAGCTGATAAATAGAGAAAATATTCAGCTTTGCTATTTGCTCCCTGGCTTAGTTCACATATGAGTCACAATTTAAACATGTAGAAAAATGACAAAAACAGAAATTCCTACAAACAAGTATTGCTAGTGGTTGTTGGTTGCCTGTGATRCTGTTGTCACTTACAGCAAATAACGTGTTTCAAATACAGGATACAGAGTGAGGTACTCGGCTGCCCAGAGAGCACTCAGGGCGAGGGCCGTGTACAGCCGCCCCAGCTTGAAGTGCACTCACATGTGTGTGGGAGAGCTCAGCCCTATGTTGCATTCCCTGTTTCTTTGCTCCCTGTGCAGGGGCTGCTGCTCGCGAGGCGGCCGGCTCATTGCAGCCACTGCCTGGGTTTGCTTGGCCTGGGCAGCACGTGCCCCGGCAGGAGCTCTGGCCCTGGCGCAGTGGGGCCGGTGCAGGTCCTGCATCTGCACCGCTTTGCAGCACATGCAGCTCCTTGTACCTGGGCCGAGCAGGAAGGAGAAAGCCCCGCTCTCCTGCCTCGTAAATGGCAATATAAACCGTTGTGTGTAGGTGACAGTAATCAAGCAGGGGACGTATGGCAGGGAGGCCAAACTGCAGACTTTATCAGGGCAGTCTCCAGCATGACTCTCCTGTGAGCASCCTCAGCAAATGAGAGTGCTTAGTGCTCTGTCAGAGGGTGCTGGCTCATCGCTAGCAGCACTCACAGGATGCATGACGTTTTGCAGAAAGTTTCAGCAAAGCTGCAGGAACATGAGCTTGATTGCTTGTGATAAAGACCTGTAGAGAAGTTTTAATTATATGATATGAGAGGCTGCTTCCCAATGATGTTGCACTACCTGTAATTAGACTGGACGGTCTCTAGATTATATTGTGTCCTGTGGCTTGGCTTAATAACATAGTGTTAGTTTTTCTAGAGGAGTCATTAGACTCCTCTAGTCAGTGAGATACTGCAGACATTGCCATAAAAATGTGTTTCCTTCCTCTAAGTTCACTGAGTTGTTAGCTGAATAAGCATATATTTAACTTCCCATCTTTAGTGATGAATTGGCTTCTTACTTAACTGTGACACAAAGTGGTCTCCACAGGGGCAAAGCTATTTTAAAAGTAACGAGAACATCACGTATTGCTCTTATGATTAGAGCCTTGCAGTAGGATTRAGATTTACTCCTTCCTTATCCAAGAAAAATATTACTTGAAAACAACTAATCCTTMTGTCCTTCAGCAAAATCTCCCTCTGTGTTCTTCTGTTCATGAAGCACAACCTTCCCTTCAAGTGCAGTGTGTTTAGTGTCTGCTCTTCGCACGCGCAGGGAGGACCTTGTCTAGCCCTTAGCCAGATCCCGCGGGCCTGATAAGCAGAGAGGAAGAAGTTGCTGTGCAGCAAGAGAAGCTTCAGAGCCCTGGCTGGGTCTCCCAGCCCTTGGCCTGCAGTGCAGGTATGACTAATGTCTGGGGGCGAGGATGGAAACAGTGGCAAGAAATGGCATTTTCTGTACGTGCGGGCGATGCAGAAGCACATTCTGTGGAGGCGGCTGAGCCTGACTGCAGTCATGGCCACAGCAGCCTGCCCTCTGCCCCAGCACTGGGCACAGTTACTCCTTGGTATAAATCACTACCCTGCCTGCTTACTCCCAATATACTGAAGTAGTCCAGAGTCTTTCAGCAATTAGGCTCATGGTGCTTAAAATATCATTGCACTCTTATATATGGATGTTACCAAATGAGTACAATAATTCATATGACATCTGCTCTTGAGTACTGTTTCATTTCCTTCTGGCAGTAACAGGATATGTGCCTTTTTTTTTTAACCACAGTAGCATTCCAGGGATGTGCCATAATATCCTTCTTCTCCTTCTGGGAATAATGCATTAGATAATTGTTGCATGCCCTTAGCTGGTGATCCTCTTTTTTATCAGCTTRTCATAGAAGAAAAAGCTTTCCCTGTTTACAGTTTCGTTCTTTTCTGTACTTGTAACTAGCAAATGTGATTAAACTATATTAGAAAATTAATGTTATTATATTTTATATAAATCCATTCTTTTTTAAAGGAATGCTCCAAGCCCAGAGAATAGCTTTGCTTGTGGCCACGCATGGATTTGTGAAATGTCACCGCGAGTGCATCACCCTGGGGAAGCAAATGATATATTAAATATACCCGTCCACATTCTGCATGCAGACATCAAATTACAGCCAGACTGCAGGGGTATCCATTAACATATTGCCATGCA